AAAGCATAGTAATGTATATTATTGGGTGGTGTGGCATAGTAAAGCACAGCATAGCGTAGCGTAGTATAGCATATAACACAGCAGAAAGTATAAAACACGGAAGAAGTCATACTGTATGTCTCCTCTTGATGACGGTGGAGATTACATACAATTCCCCGGTTCCTCTCACCCTGCCACGGTACATGAAAGCCTTGAATTTCTTTGTTCTTGACTGACGGTTTGACACTTGCCAGTGAGTGTTGCATTGGTGTAAAGCAATGTCGCATCTTGTTTTTGCAATAGAACGGACAGAGAATGAATACGCTGAAGGACTAATTCAACGGGTGCGGAATGGAGGAGTGTGAGTAAAGATTCTGCGAGATATTCGAAACTGATGGGAAACATAGGCGGACTTTTAACCAGGCTGCAACTGGAACTATCAGCATGTCGACTCTTCCTTGGTTACCGAAGACGGGGATGTAGCATATGTGGGAATGTCTCAAGTGCAGTGATGTCAGTTCTTTCATTCATTCATTTATTCATATATTCATTCATTCATTCATTCATTCATCAATTTATCTTGTTTTTTTTTTTTCAAATAATCTTTAACATTAAGCTCTTGTGTTTGAATCCGATTAGATGCATTTTATAGTTTTATTTATAACTGATCCAGATTAAAAGGTCGAGCGAGCCTTAAATTTTGGTAAATTCACCTCCTCCTGGGAGATAAAGGAGATCAGTGTGATATTGACAACATCTCCCGCCTAGCATCATATGTCGGTTTACTATAAATTTCTTGCCCTTACGGCTGTTAAGTAAGTTAGTAGAAACGTGAAAGAGAAATAAAGGATGACTTTTGGGGAAATAATAAGGTCAGAGTTAAAAAATTTTTAAGGGGAAGGGGGATGGAGTGGGGGTGGGAGATACACACATTAGAGGATGGGTTGTTCCTTGATGACTTGCATGGAAACATTGGCATGTTGTCTGTGATCATTTCCGGAGACCTGGTGAATTGTAGGGGTGAGTCATTAGTCTGTCATAAGAAATGTATGGCCTGGCCGCTGCAATAATTCCTGTGCTTGTAAAGTACTAGCCATAATAATCTTGTCGGGGTCTGTAGCTTAGGCGTTGCGAACATACTTCATAATGCCGGGGTGTCGGGTTCCATCCCAGATGCAGACGATTTGGCAGCAGGCCGTCTTGCGTTGATTTCGAACAGTGGTATCGTAAGCCGACCGTTTAAAAAGCATGAGAACCTACTGAACGTAAAATGTGCTTAGAAACACCCACAACACACAAATATGCTCGGGATGGCTCTGCAACGTCATGTAAAGGATACGCAACTCTCTATATTAATCTGTCTGGCTCTCTCTCTCTCTCTCTCTCTCTCTCTCTCTCTCTTTATATATATATATATATATATATATATATATATATATATATATATGTGTGTGTGTGTGTGTGTGTGTGTGTATGTATGTAAAATAAAACAGTGCATCAACCATGCACGTAACGCTACTCTGTTGATTGATTGCGTACTTCAATGATGATGTAGAGCAGACCTGTCAAACATGCAGGCCTCTGTGGTATGGTTGGCGATTAGTCCAATTTTCTAATGCTCTGATACCCGCCTTGTATCACTTCTTCTAAGTTTTCTTTCTCAAAAAGTGTCCAAAATAATATTGACCGTCTTTTTCTCATTTCTGTATTTAGATTACTGTTTTCATCTGTTGTGAGAAAATTCCATAGTTTCATTTTATATAACTTCATGATATTCTTTGAATTCTTCTCAAAAAACAGTATTTCTTCCGCCAAATAGATGTGTTTCGACTTGTCTGTTTTTTGTCAGCGTCTCACATGCATACTGTTGTTAAAAATCAACTAACATCCATATCATATGGCAAATATAACAACCTGTATTTGCCCACCAAGGATATCAGTGTGAAAATCCAGAATTTTAAACTTTAATTAGTTAATTTTAGTTTTTAGTTAATTAAAAAATTAGTTTAATTTTTTAAACTTAATTATTGAAAATAAAGTTACTTGTTATCGGAGATATTGTGACATATGTTATCACTCAGAGTGAGCATTTGTCCTTCCAATGTACACTGGAAGAAGACAAGGGGAAGGCCAGAGCTTTCAAACATGTTATGGTTATTGACACACGTTGTGGTTAGGTTCACGTTAATCTGCCCAAAAAAAGAGTAGGTCACTTTTTATTTATAAGTTTGTTGGGCTGGTCGACTTTCCTGATGGTTACGGGTATGCCCCGCTCTGTTGTTTCATTTCTGTGATGTCTTGCATTTACGTTTTTATTTCGAAAAAGAGAATGTTTGTGACATAGGTTGCAGCACTTTCCAAGGGTGTTGTATTAGGACTAGTCTCTCCATGTTTTAAGGAGTGTTGAAAGCGCTGGCGTGCTGAAGTATACAACACGCGATAACAGCGGCATTGAAGAACATCCCCCGAAAGCTTGTGCCAAGGTGACATGGTTAAGAACTACCAATCAGAAGTGAGCTAGAGTGTATATTGGCTACGCGTGGGGAGACTAACGTTACTGTTACCCACTTTTTAAACAAACATAATTTACCTCAGTGTGACTGGGCATTCTATGCAAAGCAGTGATTGATGTCTAACGCTGTGGGCTGATTATTCTGCTGAACTCTATACTTTTGTGTACACACGCAACAAAACTACACACTCTAGCCGACACATTAATGTGCCGCGACACACAGCTTTGAAATCTCTGGATTAAGCGTAGGAGAACTTTGAAGCCAAACTTTGACACACATGGACTGTCCTCTAATACAAAAATATCAAGTCCACAGCTTCTGATGACCTGAGAAGTAAAACCTTGACCCAGGGGTTAACACGGGCTCGCTGATCCAACGACACACACATACACATATATATATATACACACATGCACACATACAAGCATACACACGTATATATGGAGAGAGAGAGAGAGAGAGAGAGAGAGAGAGAGAGAGAGAGGGGGGGGAGAGAGAATAAACAGGTAGAAAGACAATGTGATTTCAAAAACACACATACACACAAGAGAGAGAGAGAGAGAGAGAGAGAGAGAGAGAGAGAGAGAGAGAGAGAGAGAGAGAGAGAGAATAAAAGTATAGAGAGACATGAGATTTTTTGAAAATTATCCACACACACACATACATATATATAGAGAGAGATAGATAGAGAGGGAGAGAGAGAGAGAGGGGGGGGGACCGACAGAGAGGGACAAAGGAGATGAAAAACATACATGCAGGCGTTTAGAGAGAGACTCAGAGCAATAAAGAGAGAGATAAAGAGAGAGATCAAGAGAGAGAGAGAGAGAGAGAGAGAGAGAGAGAGAGAGAGAGAGAGAGAAATAGAGAAAGTAGATAAACAGGATAGAAAGTGAATGAACCAGGGGATAAAACACACACACACTCATAGAGAGAGAGAGAGAGAGAGAGAGAGAGAGAGAGAGAGAGAGAGAGAGAGAGAGAGAGAGAGAGAGAGAGAGAGAGAGAGAGAGAGAGAGAGAGAGAGAGAGAGAGAGAGAGAGAACTATTGAGATCTCATATCCATTGATCCAGATTTTGCAGACACGTAAAATTACTGTGTTGTAGAAACAGATTTTCCTGTATCGCTAGCAGTAATTGCTTTCCTTGTCCTGTCTGACCATTTATTTACCCGGTGTATCCAAATCTGTGCTTCCTTTGGTCTTGTTTTCTTGTGTCCAGTTTCTTCATTCTATTTCATTAGAACTGATTCCATCATTTGTTGTCCTAATGTTGATTTACGGACCTAGTCTTAGGGGGAACAAAAGAGAAACTCACTGTCTCCCAACAAGCATGTCGTAGAGGGCAAACAGGGCGGGAGGGGTTAGGAAAATCAAATGTGCTGAGTCGAAAATGGCAGATATTGCAGCCTTGCTGTAAACCACTTTTTTCACAATTTATATTATTTCAAACATTATCATATTAATTTATTTTATTCGGTAAATTATTACTATTAATAATATTACCTAAACAAGGCTCGAAATTTGGAACGAGTACTAGCATTTAACAAAAACAAGGTGGAGTGGGGACAGGGTGGGGGGGGGAGGGGGGGGGGGTTAGCAGAATAACGAGTGCCAGGTTTTCCACTTCGCTTTTTGTACACACTGAATATCTAGGAGCGATCATCTCTGAGATCCCATACCTGTTCAGTCTGGGCCGTTGAAGGGCCTTTATACGTAATGCAAGACTTAACACCACTTGCATGAGAGTCTGTACAACCAGCCCAGAGTCGGCTGGTCCCCCCAAGTGAGGCTCGGGATAAGCCCTCAAACACAAACGTTCTCAGATCTCTCTCGTGCAGGTGATCGAAATTAACCTACCACACTGAACCAGGTATCATCGTCGTCATTTTCATCATCATTAATTTCCACTTGCGTCGTTAAGCGCCGCGTGGAGGAGCGGTTTGTGATCCATTGCTTGGTGTGTAGCTATGGCTATTGTCATTCCCTGTAGAAGCTCTTCTATGTCATCATTCCATTTCTCCCAGGGCGACCTCTTGCTCGCAAAGCATGAACTATTTCATGGATCTACGTAATAACGGCACAGCCTGACACGTTCATTGATTACCAGATAGATTTGAAATGTCTTTAACTCTTTTTGTCCTAATCTTTTATTGCATAATTCCCGTTAGTGACTTGAATTAGATCCATCCCGTAATCCCATAACTCGAGAAAACTCACAGAGCTGCACTCTAAAGTAACGGGATTGAAAGTATAGTAAAAGGAATCTGATGCGTTGTTTTGTAGTTTACATCGAGGTTTCAATATCTGCACTCTGCACTCTAACACATTCGATTGCTGCACAACCTTAATTTTCGCCTTTTACAACATGACTGCAAAACATTAGTCTGTCCCTCAGTTTTCCCCCAAACGACTGTCTCCTAGAACGTTCAGGGTGGTTTGGGGTCCAGTCCCCATCCAATAGAGATTTTCTACGGTTCTAATCAATTTTTCATTCATTTTCAGCTAAACAATGTCTGGCCTACAGTTTGTCAACCTAGCCACCATACTGTTTGCTGTTGTCTTGGTTACTGGTTGTTTACTGGTTGATCACGTGACCGGAAGCCCAGCATCTATGGAAGAGCGAGGTCTCCATCGTTACCCCCGAGCCAAATACCGGGTGGGTTACATGTTCGGCAAACGGGCCTCATCATCATCGTCGTCATCAGAGGCCGCTCCATCTTTATTGTTTGACATCATATCCAGGTGAGTTTTTACTTTTAAACGTTCTAACAAGGTCTCTCCTCCTCTAGCGCTCACCAACTGTAAAGTCTGGGAAAAGTTTTGGCTGTTCGTCCACTTCTGGGCTTTAGTATTGTTTCAGAATTTGATTTTTGCAGAAACATTAATGGATCTGGCTTTTTTTTTTTTTTTTTTTTTTTTTGCATGAAGACTGTTGGTTCCTCGCCTCCCAGGCAGATTCACTCCTACTTTAAAGGAAACATCTATGATTGGTCGTCTTTTACGACATAAGTTGCTGAAGAGGCGGATTGCAGTGAGTCCCGAATGGGACTTCGGAACGCACACGGGGATCTAACAAGATGATTTTTACATTTTTACCAAAGTCTGCGGGCTATGCGTCTTGTGTTTGTTTCGACAGTGGTATCAAGAAAGCCGACCGTCCAGGAGAGCAATGGCAAACTACTGGACGTATTTTGCCTAGAAAAACCTACACAGCAACCAGGGACAGTTGGGATTGGTTCTACAACGTCCTGTAAAGGATACGCAACTAACCTATATACTACCTATACAAAGTATGCTTCTGCTCCATTCCTTGACGTGGTTCACCTTCTAGGCTGCTCTAAGTAAAGACACCTCTGTACATGTGTTGGGCTGTATCAGATATACGGTGGCTAGCGTTATAAATTTATGGAAACAAAGCTTGATAAAGTCATCTGTATGTAAATGTATGCAGATGCGTGTGTGTATGTATCACGTTTGTCTGTTTATGAGTTCGCATGTATGAGAACGTAGGAGTATGTATACGTGTGTGTGAGTGTGTACGATTGTGTACACATGACGTGTGTATGGATTATTTCATCTTCTTCTTCTTCTTCGCGTTCACCAGCTGTACACTCTGGCGGAAAGTTCTGGTTGTTCGTCCACACCTGGACTGCAGTCCTGCTCCAGAACCTGAGTGTTGCGTGTGCATCAGTTTTACAGATTTGATTCACTTGAATGCAGACTTTTGGTTCCTTGCCTCTCAGGCAGATGTACTCCGACTTCAAAGGAAGCTAATAATTAGTCGACTCTTACGACATGCTTTTTGGTAGGCAGTGGGTCTAATCTTGTTTTCCCCCACAATGGGGCCCGGGATCCCACACAGGGAACACTATTTTATAATTTATATTTCTTTATTATATCCATAGCATGCATTATTGATAACAGGTATTGGCACTCTGAAAAATGAGTGCTTAGAATGGCCGAATGTCAGACGGGCCTGCGTGCCCAATTTGTAACCCTTTGAAAATAAAGTTTGTTTGGTCGTTTGTTCGTTTATCTGCGCAGAGACATGAGGAACAAACCTGATCTGTGATTCTCGTAATCGTGTGTGCTGGTGATGCACACGTCAGGGCACATTATTGTGATGACCTCTAGCAGAGCCAATCAAAACTGTTGACATGGCTTCTTTCTTACAATTGACTATAATAATCTGCTATCTTTTCGTCTCTGACCTCAGAGTAATCCCTGAAAAACAATGTCATTATGTCATTTCCAGCAGTGACCCACCCAACAGACAAGCAGCAACCGGTGTCATTACGTGTGACCCCTCTTATGTGTGTTATTTTCTCCAAGATTGGTTTCATTTAGAGAAAGCAGCTTTCACAGCTCCAGACAATCACCAGCTTTGAAGTAGACTGCACGTTTTACCAGCCGTGCTCCTTGCATCTAATGGCCGATTATGTTTATTGATAAACCCAAGAGAGTGTTTGTTCTGATGCTCATCCAACGGCACCTTTCTGTTCTCATAAATAATTTAATTTAAATACACTGAGGTTCTGGGTGTCATAGCCTTTCAAACGCCCAACAATAGGATCTTTTTCACTACGTCATGTAACAGCATCAAGTATTTCATCATATTTTCGATTTTATTTTGCTTTGTCTGCGCATTTGCCGGCTGCAGAATCCAGGAGAAAGTTCTGGGTTGTTCGCCCACTTCTGAACTTTAGTTTTATTTCAGAACCTATGTGTTGCATGCGCATCCCTTGTACATATCTGACTTATTTGTGTGCAGATTGTTAGGTTTTTTGTGTGTGGAGTGAAGGGTGGAAAGGGGGGGGGGGTGGAGGGGGGGGGGAGGTGCACCTCGACTTCCATGAAAGCTCCCAATTAGTCAACTCCTACGACATGCTTGTTGAGGAGGCAGTGGGTTTTTTTCCCCACCCAAATAGGGCCCCGGAACCCACATGGGTATCGATTATGTTAATTTGTGCCCCTATCCCTCTCTTTGTCTCTCTCTCTCTCTCTCTCTCTGTGAGTGTATGTGTTTGGTGTCTGTGTGTCTGTGAGTGTGAGACTTAGGCGTTGCGAACGCCGTTTGTAATTCCTAGGTACTTAGTTTGACTCCGGTTGCGGGCGAGTTGGCAGCAGATTGCTTTGCGATGATTTTGACAATGGTAAGAAAGCCGATCATTTAGTAGTAATGGCAGACTGAGTATTGTCTAGTAAAAACAAAAAAAGCTCCCCCCCCCCCCCCCCCACCCCCTTTCTTTCCCACCCGAAAAAAAAAAAAAAAAAAAAACATGCTAGGGTTGATTTGCAACGTCCTATTAGGGATTTGCAACTAACTTCATAATTTCATGTGGTCGTCCATCGTTCGGTTCCCGAGTGCCATTTTTGCAGAGATCCTGGGAACCGTGGCTGAAGTAGCAGAGTTCGTGTTTTGTGAGCCATTAACCATTCTGCTGAGAGAAAGCTCTCCATAGCACGGGAAAATCATCTGTGTCAGCATAGACATAGCTAGCAACCTTCCATGCCTTGACCTTATGGTACAGAACCTGGTATAATTGAGGTCGATCGAGCCTTTCGGCTTTAAACCTGCCAACTGTAGGATAACTGTTGTTACATTTGACTAGTCTTCTGCTTTATGACCTCACGCTAGGCCACTGGGAGTCGCTGTGGTGTGGAGGCTAAATGCTTAGTTACCGATCGGAAGGTCGTGGGTTCGAGTGCTGATAGACTTTTCTCAAAAATTATCTCGGCTCCTAGGCCGACCCAGCCTTGAGTGGGTACCAGGTGCAGTCATGGGAAGTAAAAGCGGTATGTGTAATGTTGACCGCATCCTACATCACCCACCAAATGCCAACTGCTCTATAAAATATAGGTCTAGCTCTATATGCCCAATACGACTTCAGGTGTGGAAAAGGGTCCTTAACTGTCTTTAAATTTTTTGTTTTTAAAATTAATTTGTTCCCTTGTTTTGTTAACAGAGATATCATCACCAAAGAGGAGCTGGAGTCTCTGACAGACAAGAACCGGCAGCTCTTGAGTGAAGTTGTAGCGGCGCTGGATAAGAATGGTATGGACGTCTTGTTGGTCTTCTAGATCCATTCTTCTTACAGCCCATGTCGTGTGGCGTTGGCAGTCCTGTCAATCCACAACCTTCTGTCTCGTTTACTTTCTGACACAAATGTCAAACTGTCCAGCATTTTCTCTTTCGGTCTCCTCCTGCCTCTTTCCCCTCTGGGAACCTGGAGGTTCGGAAATTTCGAGCGCCCAACGCCTCCCCTCCTCTTTGCCTCGAAAACAAACAGGGGGGGGGGGGGGTGTTGGGGTTGGGGGGGGGGGGAGTAAGGGCTAAACCCTACTAACTTGTGTGGGATGTTGAGCCTCATCCTCTTGGAAAGTTTGCATGCGTGCGCTGAACTGGAGAGAGCGGGATTGGGGCGGGGTGGGGGGATGGTGGGGGTGGGGGGTGGAGGGGATTGCGTTTTTGCCTCTATTAAGGAGGATTCACGTTTTTTTTTTTTTTTTTTCAAAAGAGACAAACTTTACTCACATAAAGCTCACATAACCACTTTTAGACGTTCTCCTAATAAGTATTCGACATTTGATATTATTTCAGAAGCCATTATTATATTTACCTGTCATTGTTACTACTATTATTATTATTATTGCGCATTTTTAATATATAGAAAATGAAAATATATAGCCGTTTATTTTTAAAGAAAGAAATAATAAAGAATATATTTGCAAAATCACAGAAATTATATAATGCTCAAGAAGGATATACCTTACAACTTGTTAAAAAAATTCGGGATTTCCTAATTACATAATCAATGATTTATCATCAACAGACATGCTGCGCGACATGTCTCTTTCTGTACATACAGTGCAATGTGCAGACAATGTTTTGACATATATTAAAAGAAATTACATTAAAATATATTAAGATAAAATTGCGTTTGTGAAAAATAAGAATTTGTTAACGCTTCTCAAAACTGAGTTGACGGTGGCCGCGTTAGCGCAGTCTATAAGAGGCTCGCTTTCAAATCCAGCGACTCGCTGCAGCCTATGGTCGGTGTTCGAAACCGGGCGGCTCCCGGGGCTCACCCAGCCTCTAGGAAATGGGTACCAGAGTGTTACTCTGGTGTAAATGGAGGAACGTCGCTGTAGTCACAGAGTTACGTGCGAACGGCGACACAGGCGGACAAATCTGATCAGATGTCCGTACTGGTGGTAGAGCACTTATGGTTTATAACGGTTAATGACGCATGTTCACATCTCCCGACTTTACCTTTACTTTTTAAGACTGAGTTCAGTTAGTTCAAGAATTGACATCACAGCAGTCGAGGAATTCCCATGCGTGGTCCGTCATCATCTTCAGCAGCCAGCACAGCGTTTCAATACTGATGGTACCGATCACAGTCTGGGTATATGCCGCTCCTCAAGACTGTGAGGTTTTAAGCTAGCATTCTCTCACTCATGTCTAAATCCATTACTACCTCGACAGAAGCCATCATAAGGATTTTGACTGTAGTCGAAGCTTTGCGTGTTTGTAGATAACATAACTGTAAACTGGTGTCCTGCTTGAAACCAGCGTCTTGTTAGAGAAGACGCAGATCCTGAGCCTATTGTGGACTGTTTGTCTGGGAAATTCTGGTGTGCAGGGTAAGGAACAGGCTGACAGATTAGCTGTTGTCGCTATTGTGGGATTTGAGCGACTTTATGATAAAGCGGAAGTGGTTACGGCTCTTTTGGATCAAGCGGACAGTGCAACAGAACTGAACCAAATGAAAGGGTTTTGGACGACACTGAGCAATGAATAGAAAGCATAGGTGGACAATTGCATTTGGCACTTTAAGTAAGAGAGTTCTTGGCTGACTGGTGAGGAAGATGTCGGAGCAAGTATGGGAATTCCAGAGTTGTCAGTTCTTTTTGATTGATACATTCATGTTATAGCTAATATGTTGCTTAAAGATCGATTCATTCATGTTATAGCTAATATGTTGCTTATAGTGGTGCTAGACCAGTGATTCTCAGCCTTCCTAAAGCAGCGGCCTTTTAATGAAGCTTCTAATGTTGTGGCGAACTCCCATAATTCCGGTTGTATCTAGTGTGTTGTATGTGCTCAGTTATTTGCCCATGATAGCAGTGATCAGCATTCTGTTTGTATCCCCAGATGACGGCTACATTTCTCTGTCAGATTTCATGTGAGATGGGAGGAGACAGATATGTCCTGACGCCATACACATTCTGGGCATCAAGTGGTCTTTACTGACATCACTAGTCGGGGATATTTTGTGTCGAATCAGAGCAACGCCAGTAACTAAACCAGTTGGTTATTAATTAAACAGGAACATTAAACAGGACAATTTCAGTGTTGAATAATGAAGTCTGTGTTTTCTTTGAAACTTCTGTATTCATGCAACTGTTATTTATTTTGCTGAAGCCATTGTTATCTAGAGGTTATAGTGTTCATTTTGATTTATCTTATATTTTGATGATTTCCTTTACTCTGGCTGCATTCTGATGTACTTTGATGCTGTTTATATATATATATATACTATATATATATATATATATATATATATATTATATATATATATATATAATATATATGTATATATATATATATTATATATATTTTTTTATATATATAATATATATATATATATATATATATATATATATATATATATATATATATATATATATATATATCAAAAAGATAGTGTTCAACAGTTTCGTAGTGGTAGTTACATAGCCGGCACTCTGGGAAGTGTTGTGGCTGTATTCTGTTTAGATGTCCACTGAGTGAAGTATGTTGTGTTCTAAGTCTGAAGATGGTGGCCTGTTTCCTTCTTGTTAGATGGTTAATGCTGTCATTAGGATCAGGGCCAGCCATATGTCTATAAACCTCTCTTCCAGTGTCTCCCATGGCCCATCTGTTCAGTCAAGTCTCATTTTTTTGAGCTCCTATAAATGATTTTGCTGCCCGTTGGGGTTGTCGCTCTCTGTGGTTGTTCTTGTTCTGCTCCTTTCTTTGCCAGTCTGTGAGCTCTGTCATTACCTGGTGCGCCGGAGTGGCCTGGAATCCACTGCCTCACTATTCTGATGTTCTATGCTGTCTTGAGCTGGTTAGCATCCAGAATTATCTCAAAGGCTGACCAGCTCATTACCTATACAACATCAGAATAGTGATGCAGTGGATTCCATCTTCAGTCTCAGAATACCACATATTCCAATAAGTGGACATCTAAACAAAATACAGCAACAACACTCCCCAGAGATGATTTTATATATATATATATTAGGGATGTACCGAATATTCGCTTCGGGGCCGAATAGTGAACCTATTAACTATTCGGTATTCGGCCGAATAGGTGTGGTCGGGCCGAATACGAATAGTCGTTACCTTACTCCCGCTTCTGCATACACAGCTTAATGCTGACTAAATGGAACGATTGTTTTTGTTGAAAGCGAATGCAGCTTTCCTGCATTAACTAAGCTGTGAGTGACACTTTCCAAGTTTAGCTACTCGTTATAATACTTAGGATTCTTTCAGTCCTAGTTATTAGCTACCACAGACTGACTGAAGGATGCAGAACATAAAATGTTTTTAAATGTTTAGTGTTCTGTGCGAATACTAACTAGACATGGAATGAATATAAACTCCGGCCACATACAAGTCGATAATATGAAAATCAAAGGAACGGAAACATATAAGTACTTGGGTGCAAACTTCAACTGTTCCAACATGCTCAGAGAAGAAATACAATCCAAAATACAATCTAGAAATAAAGTGTACTATGCCCTTTAACATCTGCTAAAGTCAAAGTGTCTGTCTCGCAACACAAAGATCAAAATATATAAAACGTTAAAAAGACCATTCGTTTTATTTGGCTCTGAAACTCAAAACAGAAATAAAAGAGATGAGGCCTTATTACAGGTTTTCGAAAACAGTTCTACAACTAATCTTTGAACCCATCATAGATGCTAACAGCGGGGAATGGAGAGTCAGAAGCAACAACATAACACATAATCTGTTTAAATCACCATTGATCACTGGCATCATGAGAGCTAACACACTAAAATGGTTGGGGAATAAGGAAAGAATGTCAGATGACAGAGAAGTAAAAACTGTATACACCTTAGAGAGGAATGGGAGTAGACCACGAGGCAGACAAAAAATAAGTTCAATAGATAATATCCAGCCAAACCTGCCAACAACTGGTGTCACAAATTGAGAATATAAGGCCAGCCAGAGAGATGAATGGAGACGAGTGATATCTGCAGCAGTAAACCTCAAGGGCTCAGAATGCTAAAGAAGATGACTATTCTGTGCTACTTTATGTGAAGAAAAAGTTCAGCGTACATTTGACATTATAAATGTGTGTTTTTTAGATATATTTTATATACAATACACTATTCGTGTTCGTATTTGGCCGAATAGTTGGTCCCGATATTCGTATTCGGCCGAATAGTGAAAATCACTATTCGGTAGAGCCCTAGTTTCCAGTACTATACCTGTTCAGCTTCATTGTGTGTAGATTTTTAGGGAAGCAATCTAAATAGCTCAAGGTTGGGTCAAAATAGGAGCCAAGGTCAATTTTTGAACAAAAAAAATTAAAGCTGACTCCATCAGGACCTGAACCCACGACGTTCCGATTCGGAGGCCAGCGTCTAGCCGCTACACCCTAGTGGCTCCCTGCTACACCCTAGTGGCTCCCTGCTACACCATAGTGGCTCCCCGCTACACCCTAGTGGCTCCCTGCTACACCCTAGTGGCTCCCTGCTACACACTAGTGGCTCCCCGCTACACCCTAGTGGTTCCCTGCTACACCCTAGTGGCTCCCTGCTACACCCTAGTGGCTCCCTGCTACACCCTTGTGGCTCCCCGCTACACCCTAGTGGCTCCCCGCTACACCCTAGTGGCTCCCCGCTACACCCTAGTGGCTCTCCGCTACACCCTAGTGGCTCCCCGCTACATCTTAGTGATTCCCCGCTTCAAACTAGTGGCTGCCCGCTATAACCTAGTGGCTCCCCGCTTCAAACTAGTGGCTCCCAGCTACACCCTAGTGGCTCCCCACTACACACTAGTGGTTCCCCGCTACACCCTAGTGGTTCCCCGCTACAACCTAATGACTCCCCACTACACCCTAGTGGTTCCCCGCTACACTCTAGTGGTTCCCCGCTACAACCTAGTGGTTCCCCAACACACCCCAGTGGTTCCCCGCTACAACCTAGTGGTTCCCCGCTACAACCTAGTGATTTCCCGCTACAACCTAGTGGTTCCCCGCTACAACCTAGTGGTTCCCCACTACACCCTAGTGGCTCCCCACTACACACTAGTGGTTCCCCGTTACAACCTAGTGGTTCCCCTCTACAACATAGTGGTTTCCCACTACACCCTAGTGGTTCCCCGCTACAACCTAGTGGTTCCCCGCCACAACCTAGTGGATCCCCGCTACAACCTAGTGGTTACCCACTACACCCTAGTGGTTCCCCACTACACCCTAGTCGCTCCCCAATACACACTAGTGGTTCCCCGCTACAACCTAGTGGTTCCCCGCTACACCCTAGTTGTTCCCCGCTACACCCTAGTGGTTCCCCGCTACAACATAGTGGTTCCCCACTACACCCTAGTGGTTCCCCGCTACAACCTAGTGGTTCCCCGCCACAACCTAGTGGATCCCCGCTACAACCTAGTGGTTACCCACTACACCCTAGTGGTTCCCCACTACACCCTAGTGGCTCCCCAATACACACTAGTGGTTCCCCGCTACAACCTAGTGGTTCCCGCTACACCCTAGTGGTTATCCGCTACAACCTAGTGACTCCCCACTACACCCTAGTGGTTTCTCGCTACAACCTAGTGGTTCCCCGCTACAACCTAGTGGTTCCCCACTACACCCTAGTGGTTCCCCACTACACCCTAGTGGCTCCCCACTACACACTAGTGGTTCCCCGCTACAACCTAGTGGTCCCCCGCTACAACCTAGTGACTCCCCGCTACACCCTAGTGGTTCCCTGCTACACCCTAGTGGCTCCCTGCTACACCCTAGTGGCTCCCTGCTACACCCTAGTGGCTCCCCGCTACACCCTAGTGGCTCCCCGCTACACCCTAGTGGCTCCCCGCTACACCCTAGTGGCTCCCTGCTACACACTAGTGGCTCCCCGCTACATCTTAGTGATTCCCCGCTTCAAACTAGTGGCTGCCCGCTATAACCTAGTGGCTCCCCGCTTCAAACTAGTGGCTCCCAGCTACACCCTAGTGGCTCCCCACTACACACTAGTGGTTCCCCGCTACACCCTAGTGGTTCCCCGCTACAACCTAGTGACTCCCCACTACACCCTAGTGGTTCCCCGCTACACCCTAGTGGTTCCCCGCTACAACCTTGTGGTTCCCCAACACACCCCAGTGGTTCCCCGCTACAACCTAGTGGTTCCCCGCTACAACCTAGTGATTTCCCGCTACAACCTAGTGGTTCCCCGCTACAACCTAGTGGTTCCCCACTACACCCTAGTGGCTCCCCACTACACACTAGTGGTTCCCTGCTACAACCTAGTGGTTCCCCGCTACAACATAGTGGTTCCCCACTACACCCTAGTGGTTCCCCGCTACAACCTAGTGGTTCCCCGCCACAACCTAGTGGATCCCCGCTACAACCTAGTGGTTACCCACTACACCCTAGTGGTTCCCCACTACACCCTAGTGGCTCCCCAATACACACTAGTGGTTCCCCGCTACAACCTAGTGGTTCCCCGCTACACCCTAGTTGTTCCCCGCTACACCCTAGTGGTTCCCTGCTACAACATAGTGGTTCCCCACTACACCCTAGTGGTTCCCCGCTACAACCTAGTGGTTCCCCACTACACCCTAGTGGTTCCCCGCTACAACCTAGTGGTTACCCACTACACCCTAGTGGTTCCCCACTACACCCTAGTGGCTCCCCACTACGACCTAGTGGTTCCCCACTACACCCTAGTGGTTCCCCGCTACAACCTAGTGGCTCCCCACTACACCCTAGTGGTTTCCCGCTACACACTAGTGGTTCCCCGCTACACCCTAGTGGTTCCCCGCTACAACCTAGTGACTCCCCGCTACAACCTAGTGGCTCCCCAATACACCCTAGTGGCTCCCGGCTACACCATATCAACATGGTTACAACAAACTGTTCTCATTGACTAGCACTATGCACAAGATAATATAA